AACCTCTGCCCCCCAGGTTCAAGCAATTCTCATGCCTCAGCCTCCCAAGTAGCTGGGATTACAGGCTCGCATCACCACGCCCAGCTAATTTTTGTATTTTTAGTAGAGAGGGGGTTTCACTATGTTGGCCAAGCTGGTGTCGAACTCTTCATGTGATCCACCCACCTCTGCCTCCCAAAGTGCTGGGATTACAGGCATGATCCACTGTGCCCAGTGCAAAAGTGCAAAAGTTTTTAATTTTGATGAAGTCTAATTTATTTTATTTTATTATTTTATTGCTTGTGCTTTTGGTGTCAAATCTAAGAATATTTTGCCAAATCCAAGGTCACAAAGATTTACCTCCTATGTTTCTTTCTAAGAGTTTTATAGTTTTTGCTCTTAAATTTATGTTTTTTATTCATTTTGAGTTAATTTTTATATATGGTGTGAGTAAGGGTTTTGCTTTAGTCTTTTACATGTGGATATCCAGTTGTCCTAGCGCCATTTGCTGAAAAGACTTCTTTCTTCCATTGAATGGTCTTGGCACCCTTGTGGAAATCAGCTGAACATATACACATGGATTTGTTTCTGGACTCTGAATTCTATTTCATTCATCTGTATACCTATCCAAATGCCAGAACCACACTGTCTTTTTTCCCTCTCCAATGGCATTGGTTTTATTTTTTAAAAACAATTTTTTAAATCAATGCATAATAGATGTATGTAATTTTAGGGTACATGTGATCATTTGATACATTCATATAATTTGTAAAGATCAAATTAGTGTACTGGGACATCCATCGCCTTAAATATTTGTCTTTATGGTATAACCATTTGAATTATTCTCTTCTAGCTATTTTGAAATGTTTAATAGATTGTTGTAAACTATAGTCATTCAAGTGATTTCTCAAACTCTAGGTCTTATTTCTTCTATAAAACCATATATTTGTACCTTTAATCAACTTCTCTTCATCCCCACTGACCTCTGACCTTCCTGGCCTCTGGTAACCACCAATCTACTCCCTATCTTCATGAGATCCACTTTTTTAGCTCCCACATATCGGTGAGAACATGTGATATTTGTCTTTCTGTGCCTGGCTTATTTCATTTAACATGATGAACTCCCACATTGTCTTGATTATTGTTGCTTTGTACTAAATTTGGAATCAGGAAGTGTGAGCCTTCTACTTTGTTTTTGTTTTTCATGATGGCTTTGGCTATTCTGTGTCCCTTGCAATTCCATATGAGTTCTGGAATTAGCTTGTTATTTTCTACAGAGAAATCAGTGAAGATTCTGACAGGGATTGTGCTGAATCTGTAGATCAATTTGAGGGGAATTGCCACCCTGAAAATAAGCCTTCTGATCTATGAACATGAGATTTTTTTTTTCCATTTAGTTATATCTTCTTTAATTTCTTTCAACAATGTTTTGTAGTTTTCAGAGTTTGTTTGAACTTTTATTAAAGTTATTCCTTAGTATTTTATTTTATTCTTTTTCATACTATTATAAATGGAATTATTCTCAATTTTATTTTCTAATTGTTAATTGCAAATGTGTAGAAATACAATTGATTTTTGCACATTGATCTTGTATCCTTCAACCTTGCTGAACTATTTATTAGTTCCAACAGTGTTTTAAGTGGGTTCCTTAAGATTTCATACACATCAGAGATAGTTTTACTTTTTCCTTCCTAATCTAGATGGCTTTTCTTTTCCTTAACCTAACTGCGCTGGCTGTAACCTCTAGTACAATGTTAATAAAAGTAGCTGGAATGGACTGTCTCTTTTTATTCCTGATCTTGGGGGACAGCATCCAGTCTTTGACCATTAGCCACGATGTTACCTATAAGTTTTTTGCAGATACCCTTTGTTGGATTGAGGAAATTCCCTTCTATCCCTAGTTTGTTGAGTGATTTTATCATAAAAGCGTATTGGATTTTGTCAAATGTTTTCTGCATCTGTTAAGATGATTGTGTGATCTCCGTTTTATTATTCTATCCATATGGTGTATTACATTAATTGATTTTTGAATGTTAAATCAGGCTTGCATTCCTGGGATAAATCCTAGTTGGTCATGGTGTATATATCTTTTCATACATTGCCGGGTTCAGTTTTGCCAGTTTTTTGTTGAGGATTTCTGCATTCATATGAATAACAGATATTGGTCTGTAGTTTTCTTATGATGTGTCTGTCTGGTTTTAGTATAAGGGTAATCCTGTCTTTGTAGAAGTATTTGCCATAGAAGTCGTGAAGTATTTCACCCCCTTCTATTTTCTGGAAGAATTTGTAAAGAATTAGTATTATTTTTTCTTTAAATGTTTGGTAGAATTCAACCATGAAGTTATCCAGGCTTGGGCTTTCTTTGTGGGTAGTTTTCTGATTACTAATTCAATCCTTTTACTTCTTACAGGTCTACTCAGATTGTCTTTTTCTTCTTGAGTCAGTTTTAGTGGTTTGTTCATTTTATCTAAGTTATCTAATTTACTGGCATAAAATTGTTTATAGAACAGATGGTTCCCTACTTAAGATGATTTGACTTAATGATTTTTTCACTTTACGATGGTGTGAAAGTGATACACATTCAGTGAAAACCATACTTCAAGTATCTATACAACAATTCTGTTTTTCACTTTCAGTAAGTATTCAGTAAATTACATGAGATATTCAATACTTTATCGTAAAATTGGCTTTGTGTTAGATGATTTTGTCCAACTGTGGGCTAATGTAAGTGTTCTGAGCATGTTTGAGGTCAGCTAGGCTAAGCTATAATGTGTGGTAGATTAGGTATGCTAAATGCATTTTCAACTTATGATATTTTTAACTTATGATAAATTTGTTGGGATATAACCCTATTGTAAGCAAAGAGCATCCATCTGTATTTCTTAATCTTTTTCAATTTCTGTAAGGTTGGTAGTAATTTCAGGTTTTCATTTATGATTCTAGTAATTTGAATCCTCTCTCTTTCCTTCTTTATTTTTTATTTTTATTTTTTGTCAATCTAGCTAAAGGCTTGCAATTTTGTGGATTCTTTTTCCAAAGAACGAGCTTTTGGTTTTATGGATTTCTTCTATTGTTTTTAAAAATTCTCTATTGAATTAATTTTTGCTCAAATCTTTATTTCCTTCTTTGCTTTAAGTTTTTTTTCCAGTGTCTTATGATAGATTAGGCTATTCATTTGAGATCTTTCTTCCTTTAACAGAAGTATTTACAGCTCTAAATTTACCTCTAACCACTACTTTAGCTGTATCCCATCTGCAAAGACTTTTATTTCCAGTCAAGCTCCACATCCATCCCCAACTAGGAGAAGATCTGCTAGCTCCCCTATAAAATCAAGTCTTAATCTTCAATACCTACATTATGGAAGAATCCATGCATGGAGAAGGCATCTGATCTTGTGGCCTCAAGTTTGTTTTTCATTGCCAATCATGGAGCATCCATTGGTTTTTGTTGCTGTTGTTTTGTTTTGTTTTTTTGCTGATTGCATTTTCTTTGGGCATACCAAGATCTGTTTTGATGGTGTCTAATATACAGATAATTACTGCTGGGGATAGGTAGACATGATCTTGTCTTGGTGGGAGGGACTAGAATAGTTTCCTTCTTTCTATCACCATAATTTCTCTGGACTTCCCCCACCCCCCCAAAAAAAACTCCGTGTAAAAATAATAAAACAAACAAAAAACCCACCATTCGACCACAGGTATAGCTCACAGGGACTTCAACAGGCTCAGTGATGAGATTTAAAAGTATAGGACTGTAATCCCAGCACTTTGGGAGGCCAAGGCCGATGGATCACTTGAGGTCAGGAGTTTGAGACCAGCCTGGCCAAAATGGTGAAACCCTGTCTCTACTAAAAATATAAAAATTAGCCGGGCATGGTGGTTCCAGCTACTCTTGGGAGTCTGAAGCAGGAAAATCACTTAAACCCGAGAGGTGGTGGTTACAGTGAGCTGAGATCGCACCACTGCACTCCAGCCTGGGTGACAGACTGATTGATTGAAACTCCATCTCAAAAAAAAAAAAAAAAAAAAAATATGGTAAGTCCTGGTTTACCTAAGAGGCACTGATGATGAGGTTGGCAGACTTTCTAAGTCCTCTCCCCCGCTGCACTCTAGCTTGGCTCTTTAGCACTCCTGTGAAGGGCCTGGGGAGGATTGAGGGGCTGTCCAGATCGACACTTGCGTCGCTGCTTGTTAGCCGTGGAGGAGGACAGCCGCCCTCGTGTATCAGGACTAAAGGTGTGGGGAGAAAGCACCGTGGCACCTGAGCCACCACCCAGGCCACACAGTCATCTCTCCCGACTCTGGAACATTGTGACTCTTGCTTGATCTCTCCCAGGAGTCCTGCGCCAGGTGAGGGGGGCTGTGCTGGTGGGCGAGCAAGAGCAGGGAGTACAGGGAGATTCTGAGAAGCCAGCAGAGACTGTGAGGGCAGAGCCACTGTGGAAGAAGGTCTTTGATCTGGGCTTATTCTTTTCTTTTTTCTTTTCTTGAGGTAGAGTTTTGCTCTGCAAGCTCTGCCTCCCAGGTTCAAGCGATTCTCCTGCCTCAGCCTCCCGAGTAACTGGGATTACAGGTGCCTGCCACCACATCTGGCTAATTTTTTGTATTTTTAATAGAGACAGAGTTTCATCATGTTGGCCAGACTGGTCTTGAACTCCTAACCTCAGGTGATCCACCTGCCTCGGCCTCCCAAAGTTTAGGGATTACAGGTGGGAGCCACCATACCTGGCCCGATTTGGGCTTATTCTTAAGTCATCGATGGCCAAAATATCAATTTTCCTCTAAGCATGGAGGAGCACACCTCCTAATTCCTAATACAATATGCTCCTGTGGGCGAGGCAGCTCTCAGCCTGCTGACAGGTATGCTATTTGGAATTATGTTGTGGGATTAATTTCTCCTCTCTCCATCCTCACACATACTGGGGACTGTGTTGGCAGGGCAGGGTTTGCCAAGACGGATGGTCTGGTAGCTTCCTGAACTGCTCTCTGATATCTGCTTCTCTGTACTGTCTTCTTGCTTAGCCAAGACAGTCACCACTGAAGAGTACCTGGTGAACCCTGTGGGCATGAACCGCTACGGTATGGACCCCTCCGCCTCCACCTTTAACCACAGGGGCTCCTTGCCCCCCTCCTCCTCGCTGTACTGCAAGAGGCAGAACTCTGGAGACAGCCACCTTGGGGGAGGTCCTGCTGCCACAGCTGGTGGTCCCCGCACCAGCCCCATGTCTTCTGGTGGCCCCTCGGCACCTGGGCTGAGGCCCGCAGCCTCCAGTCCCAAGAGAAATGCAACCTCTCTTGAAGGAAACAGATGTGGTAATGTAATGCATGCATCAGATTCCCGCTGACACAACATCCCTTGCCCTCACGCAGGGAGCACAGCACCTGGGGAACGGGGAGTGTGGCTGTTTAAACACAGGACTGCTGGGAGATCAGAAATTTCCACAGGCCCTTTTATGGATTCTTGAGGTTCTCAAAAACAGCCAAACTCAACCTTTGATAAGCAAAGAAAACCATGTATTAGGGTAGGCTAGGCCACAGGATACATAGACTCCAAAATGTACACAGGCTCAAATACCATAGAAATTTTTGTTCAAGAGCCAAAGGCAAATGTTCCTGATTCATGGATGCATCTCAATTTAGGGACACAGGCTCCATCTATTTTGTGGCTCTGCCACCCTCTACAGCCTTCAGGCCCCATGCATTTGGGGACTAGAAAGGGAAAGAAGGGATGGAGAAGGCACAGGCGCTTCTCTGCAGTCTGAGAGTGATGCTCATTACTTCCACTCACATCTCATTGGCAAAAGCTGGTCATTTTGCCACACTTAACTATAAGGGACTCTGAGAGCTGTAGGTTAGCTCTGCCCAGGAAAAAGGAGAACCAGACCTTGGTAAAGAATTGTCTCTTGCATAGCAGGTGTCACTTTCAGGATACAAATATGTGGTTAGAAGCAGAGGTAGGCAGAATTCCCCCAATACTGGTTGTAATGCCACGTCTGTCTTGTCCACTAAAGAAAGCTTGTTGGACTGCAATCTACAGAAGCACTATGAGGGATAAAGGATTAAAGTAATAGCTTGAAGGCCCTTCTGATTGATGTTTTAAAAAATAATTTTCAAGCTTCAGTATTTTGATAGTGCATAAAGGCCATAGAGTATAGTAGATAATCACTGGGACTTCAGCCAGACAGCCAGGGCTGAGATGCTGGATCTGCTGCTTCCTGCCTACCTTTTGCAAGTCTTAACTTACCTGTGCTTTGGTTTTCTCACCTATAAAAGTGCAACAATAATAATGGCAGCACCTGCCTCATGGGATTGTTGGGAGGATTAAATGAGTTCATACATGCGTTTAGTATGAGGACTAGGTTGTAATAAGAGCTCAATAAATGCTAGTAGTTACAGCATAGATCTTTTTAACACATCCCTTAACAGATCACAGCCCATCAGCTCCACAGCTGAGAACTGCTGAAGAAAGAAGGCCCCAGGCCAAGGAGTCTGGGAGTCTTCATCTTGCCACCCTGTGGGCACCTCAGTGGGCAGGCTCTGTCTTCTGTGGCAAGCCACATTTCTCCCCTGAACCCAGGACCCTTCCACCAGTGACCCCAACAAGCCGCACACATGAGCCATTTTGTATGATTCAAGACCCTCCACACATTCCCTTCTAAGAGCCTCATCCAACCCACATGAGCATGGCCCTGAGCAGCTTCCCCTGGCCAAGGATGGAGAGGTGAGAAGGGGTCCCTGGCTGGAGAGCTGTTGAGGGGTAGAGCACAGATTCTGTCTCCACGGCAGCTCTTGCCAAATGTAGGCTACTTTCCAACACTATCACACAGGACCATAAGCCAGGCAGATTAAGTGAGCAGAGCCCTGTTTTCCAAAGGAGAGCAACATTGTTCCATCTGATTCCTAAGAACAAGAGAAAGGGACATGATCTGGCACAAACCAACACTGTAAAGTAAACCAGGGGCAGCCTTGATTTCATAGGTTTGTCCCCAGTGTTAGCATAATAACTGGCATGTGGTAGGTGTTCAATAAACATGCATCATGTCTGTGCCCTCATGGTGTCCCCTTGTCTTGTCAAAACACTCATCCTTATGTCCCTCTGGCATTTAAATGTCTCTTTCTCTCATCCTCTTCTCCTCAGCCCAATTCCCCTTTTCTCAGGGTGGTGATCACAGGACACCATGCTGATTGAATTGACTCATAATCCCAGAGTGTCCCACTTTTTAAAAAGGAGATATTTACTCTCTCCTACGCACGTTGGTACAATTTCAGTCCTATGTCTTACATGCAGGATTTCCAGCAGTAAGAGGGAGGCATGATGTGGTTGCAGAGAACTTCTATCACTCACTCGACAACAGTCTGCCCTGTTCAGTCCAACTGGTGACCCAGGGCAGGGAATCCAGGGCTCTTCAGATGGCCTCAGCATAGTTCCTTTCCCCAGCCCCTCATGCCTCCTTCCAGTTGAGCCCTAGGATGTCCTCCTGTCCTTTACTTTCATCCCCATCCCAGCCCTTTGTTCTCCTGTGTATGAGTCTGTTCTCATGCTGCTAATAAAGACATACCTGAGACTGGGTAATTTGTAAAGGAAAGAGGTTTAATGGACTCATAGTTCCACATGGCTGGGGAGGCCTCACAATCATGGCAGAAGGCAAGGAGGAGCAAAGTCAAGTCTTACATGGTGACAGGTAAGAGGGCTTGTGCAGGGGAACTCCCCTCTATAAGACTATCAGATGTCATGAGACTTACTCACTACCACAGGAACAGTATGGGGGAAACCGACACCATGATTCAATTATCTCCACCTGGCTCCATCTTTGACACATGGGGATTATTACAATTGAAGGTGAGATTTGGATGGGGACATAGACCTAACTCATATCATCCTGGAATCAGGCCCTGACAGTCTGAGTAATCTTGCCAGACAACTGGCCGAGGGGCAGCCCAGACCCTTCCTCAGGCTCTAGCTCTGAGAAGGCCCTCTCTGCTGGAGCCTAGTTACACCCCAGGAGAGGCCCCCTAGCTCAGGCCCTTCTGCCTCTCAGGTTCCGGGATGAGATCAGAGAAACAGAGTCCACCAGTGCCTGCTGCCTTTCATCCCAAGAACATCAATAACTGTACCCTGAATACTGGCTGTCTTTTTAATAACTTAGAGGTATTAGAACCAGCCAGGCATGGTGGCTCATGCCTGTAATCCCAACACTTTGGGAGGCCAAGGTGGGCGGATCACTTGAGGTCAGGAGTTCAAGACCAGCCTGACCAACATGGTGAAACCCCGTCTCTACTAAATATACAAAAATGAGCCGGGCGCGGTGGTGCCTGCCTGTAATACCAGCTACTTGGGAGGCTGAGGCAAGAGAATCACTTGAACCTGGGAGGTGGAGGTTGTAGTGAGCAGAGATTGCACCACTGCACTCTAGCCTGGGTAACAGAGCTAGACTCTGTCTCAAAAAAAAAAAAAAAAGAAAAAGAAATATTAGAGGGAACTTTGCCCAAGACCCTGACATCCAGTTGTCCATAATCAGCAGGACCCCCACCATGGGACTGTGGGATGTTTAAAATCACAAAGCCACCTAACCTCTTTGGAGAAAACCTGCTACATGATGTATCAGTTAAAGTTCACTGTTGAGGCTTTGTGATACATTGAAGAAAAATGAAATTATTCATCCTTTGTACATCTATTAACACTTTAATTCCCCAAGGATTCCTTTTAACCAGTGCCTTCTTAGGGTGCTAAATACAACTGCAGGTACCAGAAACAGCCAGTCAGACAGGCACATTCTAAGCAGTGAGACAGAGGAAGTGAGTGGGGAGAAGATGGAAGGAAGGATAAGCACCAGTGTCTCTGAAAGAGGTTTCCATTTCTGCTTACATTTCATTGACCAAAATTTAGTCACATGGCCACTTGCTGCAAGGGATGCTGGGAAATGTGGTTTTCATTCCCAGCAACTGTGATTCCAGATGGAAATTAGGGCTGCTATTACAGAGGAAGAAGTGCAAAATAACGCTAAGTAGGCAATGGGAAGTCGGATCAGAAATGCTCACTCCCTCCTTTTCCCTCCCACGGCACTTTGTTTCCTCATCTATAGTTCTTACTCTAACGCGTCCTAGAGAAGGGAACAGACCCTCAGCTTTGTGAAGTCTCTTATTCATATTTGAACCCCCCTACAGCCCCGGCAAAGGGGGCTTGTTTGAGGCCTTATCAAACTGTTATTTATTGAACACCTACACTCAAGGGGGCCAGATACTTTCCACACATTGTTCATGGTTTATTATAAGTTATATGTTTAGGATTTAATATTTATAAAAAGATATTGGTATATTTGATTTAAAGGAAAAGAAAAAGAGGTTCAAGAGAAGGGAAATCAAGTGCTGAGCCAGGATCTGACTTCAATGGTCTCCAAAGCTTGTGTCTTTCAAAACAACCCCAGGGGTTTTCAAATCGTGCCTGATGACTTTCAAGGTTCTAAGAGATGGAGAAGAGGGAACAAGAGCAGACAGGACTCCAGGTGCCCTCCCGCTCTTGAAGCAGGGCCTGTTCACATTTGCAGGGTGGGGTTCTATATGTGCTTTGCTTAAACAAAATCTGTACAGCTAAAAATGTTTGGAAATGATGGAGATAAAAACCGTGCTGACTTGAGTGGCAGGATGTTAAAGTGGGAGAGAAACCACCAGCGTCCTCACCCATTTCTCACCTAGCTGTCAGCCTGGTGCCCATTGTGGATCCCCCCCACACCCCACCATCCCACCCAAATGACTGTTCAATATTGCTCTGAAGTTCCATCCCAAGTAAAAGCAGTTGTCACCAAAAAACCATACCTCTTTAAGAGAGTTTGCTCCAAGTCATAAACCATGGAAGAGACTTAGAAATGGCCTTTTCCCCGTGGTACTAATCAAAATGGTTTAAAACCACAGAAGCCAGAAAACTGCATGAGGCTGCAGGCAGAAGGGTGGGTACTGATGACATGACAAACTCCTCGGCCTTCTCTCTCTGGCGGTACTTACCTTTAGCTCCCTGCAGTCGTGATCTATCACATCTGTCTCCGCTGCCAGTGGGCTCCGAGGGGATGTGTTCACAGGGCACATTTTCCTGGTGTCTGCTGATGCTCTGGTGAAAGTTTGAGAGCTCTTCCTTGTCTCTCATCCAAGATATAATCACCAAGAGCTATAAAGAGGTTTTGGATAACAAAAGCTTCCTGACTTGGGCATTTAACAAGACACACTGTAGAATTCCCAACCACAACTAGGTCCAAGATTCAGAATCAAGAAATGAAGTCAATCTGATATCGCTATTACAACCCAAATGCTTCCTGTGGTTG